AGGAGGGTCCTAGGCACCAGCTCTCGAATGATGTGGGCCTCACTGACCCAGGACCAGCTCCGAGGGACRTGGCTTTGGAGCAGAAGAGAGGTCRGGTRAGCAGGCACCTTCAAGGTCGCACAGGTGGTCACATGGGAGGTGGGGAGAAGAAGGGCCGGTCAGGGAACTTCCCTGAGTGGCTGCAGAGGAGAGGCCACTGCAGACAGCCAGGAAAGCCCRTCCACTGCAGCCCCTGGTGTCCCCGGGACTGCAGTACAGCACACAGGGGCGCACACCAGCCCCGACCCAGGAGGGAGGACGGGAGGCCATCCACAGGCGATGCCCCTGGGGACAACGGCAACAGCAGGCAGGAGCAGGCTGAGGAAGAGGGTCCACAGCGAACATGGACGACAGGGTAGGGCCTGAGGGGCCAGTGGCTGGCACGGATGCCAGGGGGGCTGACCACGCCAGGGCTCGGGAAGACGGGGGTCGATTCTGACCAGAGCCCAGGGACAGGCGTGGGGAGGACCACGGAGGGACGGGGCCCAAGGCTGGAAAGGCCACTCCCAACTCAAGCTAAAGCTCCCCACCCTGTGGGCAGGAGCCGCTTGGAAACGCTGGCCTGAGACATGCCCCCACATCGGAGGTGTATTCCACAGGCCACTCCAGAGAAACCGGAGAAGACACCATGTCCACCCCCCAGGAACCACAGAGCCCAGATGGGGGACCATGACTCCRCCACTGTTTGCCCACCAGGAACTGCCGGCCACCTCATCACAGAGACTGTCCCCAGAGCAATCCACTGCCCAACTCAAGCCACCTGAGCAGCGCACGCGGAAAAAGGCCAAGGCCAATGGCACCACAGTGGGCTGTCCCACCCTGGCCATCCCGGGAGGAGACGAAGACCAGATTCTGGCCTGGGAACAGGAGAGAAGGGCACTGGGAGAACAAAGGAGCMGAGGATCCCTGGGCCCAGGGCCCTCGAGACCCACCTCTGCCCAGCGGCCAGGCATGAGGTGRACATCTCCAGACGGTGAGATGTCACTGCACGCCAACCCCCCCAGCCCAGGGCCCAAAGGAGAGCTTCTCCCCAGGTCCGGGAGGACATGAGGGGTAAAGGCCACCCTGTGGGGCCCGCACCTGAGGGGCCACCTGGGGAAGGGTACTCAGCTGGCCAATGGCCCAGGGGCCTCTTCTCATGTAGGGTGAAGGTGCTAACCTGGGCAGCTTGGGGGCTGAGCCACTTGTCACGTACAACACACACACACGTGTGATCTGTGACAAGAGGAGGTTTTCACAGGCCCAGGTTGTCCTCAGTRTGGCAAAGGGAACAGAGACTGTCACACAGGGCCTYGGCGAAGCRGCAGGAGGGGGCCAAGGGGGCTGCYGGAGACCCGCGTCACACTGGGGCCCGCCCAGGTCTCCACCAGAGCAGAGCAGGCACGTGGCACACAAGGGTCACCGCCCAAGGGTCACCACCCCAGAGAGACGGACTCCAGACAGGCGCGTTCACAACGCCAGTCAGTCTTTAAAACACCACAACCCACACATCGCACAGAATCCCACACGCTGCACTTCCAGACGCACAGAAGCCACTGTGGCCTCGCACCATGCAGACTCCCGGGATGGACGGTGGGCCCCTGGGCACAGGCATGAGGAGTCCACCTCCTTGATGTCCCCATAATGAACTGAGTGTGATCCACCTTGTGGTTCTCCCCAGCCGTCCTGCGAGGGAGGCTGGGGTCCAGCATGGGACCTGTAGGAGGCAGAGCCTAGTGATTAGGTCACTGTGGCCACCGCCCTTGGAAGGCACTGACATCCCTCTCCAGGGACCATGGTTAGTTTTTAAAAGCAGACTTACAAAACAGCAGGCACGGTGCCCTTCCCACCTGATCCCATTCCGTCTCATCATGATCTCTCCTCCTCCCACGCTCTGCCTCTGTGACACCACTCTCCATGTGACACCACTCTCCACAAAGGCCTCCCTGGTAATGAACTGTGCCCAGCACTATGTTCTGGGAACCCCCAGGACCAACAGCTAAATAAACCTCTTTTCTTTATAAAGTCCTCAGCTCRAGTATTTCATCGTAGTTACAGAAAATGGACTGATAAATAGGAGTGAACGAAGGAATGTCTCCATCCGTCCGTCCTTGGGGGGTTTGTTTGGATGGATGATTTCCAACTCTACTCTGACCAGTTTTGCTTAGCTTTGCATGATTCTCCCCTGAGCTTTGTCTAAAGAGAAGAAACAGAAATTGGCAGGAGTGAATTGCAGCAAGAGATGGCCCGTGTGATGGTGCTGTTTCCACGCCTGTATCTAGGGTCAGCGCTCATCCACGGGACCTCCGTCCCTGCACCCATTCCTGATGAGGAACCAGGTGGGAAGCCGACCTGGGCCATCTGCAAGCAGGAGGCTGCAGCAGCCGCAGTGTGGGAGGTGGCYGGTGTATGAGCATGGTGTCAATGACACCAGTGCCCGGGGAGCAGGCCAGAAGACCACTGCTAGGTCCATCGGTGTCCAGCTCCTCAGCTCTGAGCCACACCACCTGTCCTCTGAGGATGCATGGGTGGCTGGAATGCAGGAGACCTTGAAGAAGCTGGACTGTAACCTTGGAAACCGGCTTCCCCAGTTCCCATCACAGATGGCCGTCTGAYCGCCTGGGCTAGCCGGAGTAGGACCCTGCCTGCTCTGAACTCAGAACAGATCTCACTGTCCTGTCCAGAGCCCAAGACGCTTGTAAAAAAGGCAGGAGGAGCTGTGACTCAGTGTCCACCTTGCAACATGATAAACAGTGAGGGGACAGTCTCCCACAGAAAACAGATGCCCTGCTCCAGGCTTCGAGCTGGGCCGCCCTCCAGAAGGACAAGCACAGCGGCTTCACCCCTGGCCTCAAGCCACAGAGCACAGGCCTCCTTYGATCAGGGACCCYGGCCGAACCTGCAGGGCTGTTAGGCCCCCAGAYCYCACTGTGCACCTGATGAAAAGGTGCCACCAACTGTCCCTGCCCCATGGAAAAGGCAAACCTGCATGCTCTACCCACCCCAGGACCTGGGGGCACTCTGCCGGGAGTCTACATCTGTGGAGAAGGCCAAAGTCCAGCCCCAGTGTGGCCTGTCACCCCAGCAGAGCCTGGCTTTACGCTGAGGAAGTTCTGCTCCGAGAAGTCTGAGAAATCAGCTCCCGAGCACTCAGAGCAGAGTTGGGAGGGGGAGGCCGCACGTGGACAGATGTGGGCCATCACCAAACTCAATCTTCTCGACCTCTTCAAGAGTCACCCAGGGTACAGGTGGCTCTGCCYGGTTCTCACGGCCAGGGCTGCTCAGCAGATCCTGCAGGGAAGGGTCGGGTCCTCCTGCTAGCAAGTGACCAGCAGGATCTACTCAAATCAAAACACATAAAAATCCCCCAGARCCACGCGCCCCTGATGTCCATTCTCAGCAGTGACTCCCAAGGGTGGGGAGGCCTCTCACCTCCCACCTGCCAACACTGCAAGGGTCTGAGGGTCCATATGGGAAACCCAGTCACTGGTGTGATGACACTAGGGGCTTCCAGAGGTTGATCAGGAAGGTGGAGACCCGAGGGCAGAGTCCCCACGGCAGAGGGTGGAGCCCCCATACAGAGGGCGGAGCCTCCGTGGAAGAGGGCGGAGCCCTTACAGACAAGGCCCAAGAGCTCCCTGTCCTTCCACCAGTCAGAACACAGTCCCCCTGTGGACCAGGAAGAGCCCTTGTCAGACATCAGATCTCTTGATCTTGAGCGTCCAGCACCCAGAACCGTGGACAATGACTCCTGTTGTCCACAAGCCACCAGCCTCTGGCGTTTTGCCATAACTGCCCAGAGAGAGTCCGACGCCATCCAARCACCACTCCAGTCGGCTCTGGGGTCACCAGGAGGACCCACTCTGCTTGTGTCCTGGGTCTGCACATCCTTGGGCCAACCAAGGCCGGGCAGCCCGAGGGCCCCACTCTGCTCTCAGGCCAGCAGCCTCTGTCCAGCCTGTGGGGAGCAGCTGCTGTCCCAAGGAGCCCGGCCCATTGACACCACTCCTGCTTCTGCCGATGTCCCCCACCTCCCCTCAGACCCTGCCCACGAGGCTGCAGCTTCTGCAGATGGCTGCTCACCTGTGTGAACTGAGATGCAAAAGTGCCCGCAGCCTGCCCTAGCCAGATCCTSGCCTCCTGCCCAGTGCGCAAGCCCGGCTTTGCTGGCCAGAGAAGTCCTCCTGAGAATCTTGCTCACCAGCGTGCCCACACGAGGCACAAGATCTGGACCCTGAGCTTCAAAGCACACCTGCGGCCGCCCAGGTCATTCCKACTCTCTGCACGAGCAGCAGGTGAAACTCGGCCTCCTGGGACAGCGGGAAAAGCACCCAGAGCCAACTGGTTGGCCCCAGCAGATGCTTCTGCCCTGTCCACTAATTCTCTATGTGGGGCTCCTGCCCCTCTTTTTAATTCTGTGTTTTAATGAGGGGGTTGGTTTACCCAGGATGCAATGGGAAGCCGTCSCAGGATGAGCTTGGTGACCATGTCCCCAGGTTTGCCCCCACCCCTAGCCCACTTCCTGGACATCAGGGCAGCACCATGTCACCACAGACACAGTTAAGATGACTGCTCTGCAGTCCTGTCCTGGWCGGGGCTTCTGGGTGATCCCATCTGACAGAGTCCCAGGAACGGTGACCCCACGTCAACAGATGGCCATGGAYGGGGCTCAGCCTCCCCTGCGGCTGGAGTCCACAGTGATGATGACCGTGGGAGGCGATTCCACAGTGACGAAGAAGCAGGCTGGACGGCACCCCTCCCCAGCAGGAGCAGGGAGACCAGAGCCTTCCCCACAGGTGTCCAGGCTCCAACGTCCCCCACACAGGGGTCATTCAGGCGAAAGCTGGCCTGAGCTCCTCCACKGCACCATGGCCGGCCTTGGCCACTMTGGCCAGGGCCCAAACAAAGCCCCCCCACCATGGCCTCCAGGTGGCTGTGGGCCTCCCTGGGCTGCCCAAGCACCCAGCAGGGCTGGCTCTTACCGTCAAGCTCCTCCACAGAGATGTTGGCCAGCTGCTCGCTGTCGCTGCCCGCCGAGAGGGACCGGTTGAGGTAATTGCCCTTGTACAGCAGGCCGGCCGTCACGTGGTGGAACGGCATCTTCTCCCTGCTCACCAGAGACGGGGAGAAGAAAGGCACAGGRTCACTCACTCGGTCCTCCTGTCCTTCCCTGGAGAACCCCCAATCCCCAGATGTCCAGCGTTGTCACTAAAATAACAACAACACCCTTAGAGGGACAGCCAGAGTGTCACAGGGTCCCCAGGCCTGAGCACCCCAGGGAGCCTGGGTTCTCTGGTCCCCTCCTCTGAGGTCTTCCCTCACCTTCCCCAGGGCTTGCGAAGGTGGACCGCAGGGTCTTTCCAAACCCACCCCATCGTCCACCTGCCGTCCCCCCACAGGCGCCCAAGACACTAAGGAAGCTCCTGCCCTTGCCTCAGAGGCCGTGTCCACTGCTCCTGAGGAAGCACCGCTGAACCCCAGGCTGTGGTCCTGTGGGGGTCCAGGAGCCAGTTTCCCCGGGAAGACAGGTGTCCATCACACCACACTCCCCACAGGGAGGAAACAGGGGCCACAGTCTGCACCTCTGATGCTGCCCGCAGCCTGGCTGAGAGGCCCCTGGGCAGCTCCTGCGCACACGCTGAAGGGCCAATCACCCCTGCCGCTGGGGGGGGAAGTGGGGCCACACCCCGTGAGCTTGCCACACCCACAGGAGGCCAGGCACCCTCGGGCCACTCTCAGGCCTTGCAGACACAGCTCCTGTGCCCAAGGCCACCACTAGGACCTGAAAGCTCCGGAGGGCCAGGCAGGCCTGAGGCCTCCCGCCCAGAAGAGGCCCCAGAGGAGCGTGAGACCCCTGAGCAGGACTTGCAGGGAAGGGCCGGGAACCGCTCTGCAGCAGAGCTCGAAGCCAGCTGGGGCACCCGACCCGGGGCACCCAGGGCTGAGCTTCCCCTGCCACACCCTGGCTCAAGCAGAGGTTCGGCTCCCTGCTGGCTCCTGAGGTGGGCCCCACTGAGGTGGTCACCTGCACTGGCCCTTCTGGCACTGAAGCTTGCTCTGCAAGGAGCCACAAGCCTCTGGACCCTCCCAAGTGACTAGGTATAAACGTGACTAGGTGTAAACRCACAAGGAAAGAGAGACAAAATGCCCATCTCTGAAGGTGACCTCCAGGGTACACAGACCTTGCTGTCCCTCAACCCACACTCCTTAGAAAAATCCAGATGAGAGCCACCTTCCTCCTCAGGACGTGTGCTGCTGGCTGATGGAGGACCGGGCTCCCGTCACCTCCTCCCTGTGCCCAGGACCCCACTTCTCCCCACTCCCTCCAGCCCTGCTAGGGCTCAGAGCTGGTCCCCGAAGGATCCCCCGTGAGAGCCCTAAACAGAAGGGCTCAGAGCCAGCTCCCAGGAGGACGAGTTCCAGAACCAGTGTCCCGACCATCACTGCGACCCACGGCCTCAGCTGAGCACCCCAAGCCACCCAGGTGTCGAGCCCTCGCACCAAACTCAAGGTGTCTAAAGACGAATTCAGCTTCTTCCTACAAAACGGGCTGCACTTCCTGACGTCTCCATTTCTATCAAAGACACTGTTCGCTCACAATGACAACTGGGACAACTGTCACACRGGCGCCAGGTCCCCTAAAGTAAAAGAGGCCCAGGGCTGAGGCAGGAGCCACCTGTCAGTCTCTGGGCCTCCCCTGGCTGACCACAGGCCAGCCATGATGCACGATGCTGGTCACAAAGGATGAGTGGCTTTGCAGTGGTGTTGGGCAGCTCTGTAGCCCCAAACCTGTCCTTGCCCGTGCACCAAGGCAAGAATCTCTTCACTGGAAGATGCTTCACCTGCAGCTCTTCTCTCCAAGCTGACTCTCAGGCCAAACAGGACTGAAGGGAGACCTGGGTGCGTGAACTAGGGCTGTGCAGCAAGGAGGCCAATCACCATTTCCTGGGGATGTGGGCAAGGTCGCTTGAGCAGGGGTTGATGTCCGTGGCCAGGGGTGAAGGCTACTTGACTAATGCCTCCCCAGTGGCTTTAGCTCCATTCTCATCCCTGACGCTCACTAGTTACTTGCCAGCTGTTATCCTGACCACTGTCCATCTCTTCCTGACCCTGGGCAGATGCCCTCTCTGATCTCCCATTCTACTTCTAGGCTGAGACCCTCGGGTCTGTGCGGGAGCCCACAGTGTCCCTCCATCCCGCATGGATCACAGTGTCCCTCCATCTCACATGGATCACGGTGTCCCTCCATCCCTCACGGATCATGGTGTCCCTCCATCCCTCATGGATCACAGTGTCCCTCCATCCCTCATGGATCACAGTGTCCCTCCATCCCACACGGATCACGGTGTCCCTCCATCCTGCGAGGATCACGGTGTCCCTCCATCCTGCACAGATCTCCCCTTCCTCCGCACGGTGACCTCCTGGAAACACCTGTCACCCACACATCTAAAGCCCCAAATCCACCAGACCCATCTTCACAGCCAAAGTCATCAAGTTTTTCTCAAGAGCACGCACCCTACCCACCATCAGCCCTCAGAAGAAAGGTCCAGCGCTTTGCTGAGGAAACTGGTCACAACTGGATCCCCACGACCAACCGACCCCCCACCTGCTCCTGAATCAGGTACACACTCAGCGCAAGCAGTCTCTGCACCCCAAGTGCATGGGCCAGCGGGCAGCGCGACCAAACCACCCGTGTAGATAAAGTCCTTCCCTAGAAAAGGAAGAACGTCCCCACGCCAGCCACAGACCGCGGCCACAGTCAAGGATGCACCTCACCCCAAGAGCCTGGGGAAACCCAAGCTGGAAGACTCCTCCTCAGCTAAGAAAGAAAACCACAAGCCCTTGAAAAAGAACCAACCAAGTCCTGAACCAAACTCTTAAAGATGGATCCTTACATTGAGGGCCATGAATAAAAATAACAATATTCCCAGAGCCACTGTGCTCCTTGGGAAATACTGTTATGTCCCCATTGGCCACATGCGGGACCYTCCTGAATGTCATGGTGGGCAGTGCCAAGGTTTGACTGTAACGTGCCTCCAGCCAGTTCACCTGCCGGAACCTAAGGCCAGTGTGACAGTGTTAACAGGAAGTGCGTCACGGGACAGAGCCGTCAGGAATGGGAACAGAACCCCTGTAAGAGGGTCAAGGGCACCAGCTGGGCCCTCCAGCCCTGCCCCTTCTGCTATTCCAGGTCGCAGCAGTAAGCCACCATCTTGGAAGCAGCCAACAGCCCTCATCAGACACGGACTCGGCGGGCACCTTGCCTGCTGGTCAACACAGTGCCCAGTCTGAGTCCTAGCTCCACCCTGTTAGCATGAGCCTCCGTCTCTTCCTCTGTGAGACTGGGGTTTGATACATGCTGAATAGCAACGGAAAATACAGATAAGATAGAGTGTGGAATGCTCCCAAGGGCACCAGGCACAGCCTCTTCAAGTAAGTGACTGCTGAGGGTCAGACAGAGAGGGACGCGGGGCAGAAGGAAGCCGCGGATGTTTTAGGTTGAAAACAAAGACACTAAATCCTGGAGATGGAGGGTCCACTGGGCCCAGCAGAGGGTGAGCCTCAGGGAGACCCGCTGGACGCAGCCGGCTCAGGGACCAGGCCTGAGCACCGGTTCCAGGGCTGAGTGGTGTCACCCAGCACGGGCCGTATGAATGGGAGGCAGCTCTGGGAATTGACAGCACCAGCCCAAGAGGAGGCCGACTCCCTGGGCATGTCCAGGAAAGGGGTTGAGAGGGTCAACCAAGAGACGGTCCCACCACAGAGGGGGATGGGCACCTGCCTTGGGAGGGCACTCACACCGACTCCCAACRGCACCCTCTTGGGTGGTGTGTTCTGGCAATTCCATCGGCCCACGGGGCGCCCAGGTGCTGGAAGAGTATCACCCTGGGTGTGTCCGAGTGGGTGCTTCTGGGTAGCACTGATGTCTGAATTGGCAGTCAGAGGTCCCCAGTGGGGTGGATCCTTCCAGGCCATGGGGGCCTGAATAGGGTGGACATGCTGAGCAAAGGAGCCGTGCCCCTTGCTGAGATGACTGAAGGAGACATGGAGAGCCCTGGGTGCCCTGCAGCTGCCCAAAGCACCATCCAGCTTCTCACTCGTCGTCGGTGGACCTGATTTTGACATATTTCTGTTTTTAATTTTATCTTTCCCAGTGACTCTTTCTCACTGCGTTTTGCCAACATATTGGTCTGCAGAGGACCGAGAGCTCAAAAAAAAAAAAAAAAAAAAAACCTGGCCCAGCAAGGAAGGAAGACACCAAGAAGTGCATTCGCCCTTCATCTGAGGCGTCTTCAAAGTCCGTGGAGCTTTCACATGTGTTAGGTGGACTCTTCAAAGGAGCATAAAGCCCTCGGGTGCCTCTTGAGCCCAGTGCAGCGCCTGGAGGCTGCGGGCATCCGGCAGACACATAGCGACCCCTGCCCCCAATTACCAGGCGCACAGGGGCAACGTCAATCTCCTACTCCAAAAGCCAAAGAGCCAGCGAACCATGGCAGGGCTCTCGCCAAAACCCCGTGAGGTCCCCAGGAACTCTGTCTCAGTCAAACTGTTGGCTGCTGGGACTCCAGGACCCGACCAGCACAACTGTGTGGGGAGGAGAAGTTTATCTGGGCRCTCATGGTTTCAGAGGTCTCAGTCCACAGGGGGCCGGCTGGAGGCGAGGCTGGACATCATGGCGGGAGAGGGTGGCAGGACTCACATGGTGATCAGGAAGCAGAGAGAGACTCGGCTCTCCACATATAATACCTACCCCCAGGCTCRCCCCCGTTCCCACCTCCTCCGGCCACACCCCACTGCCCCCAGGTACCGCTCAGATGACCCCGGCAGGGTGAACTCACCGACCAGGTCAAGCCTGAGACCAGTCATTTCTCCTCTGGACCTCCTTGCACGGCTCACACGCAAGCTCTGGGGACCCTCAGCTAAACCACGGCGCCAGCGTCTGGGAGGAGCTTCCACTCCGCCAGGACCGTCAGCGCTAAGTCACCAACCACAGTGCTCGRCCCTGAGGTCAGACACAAGTGGCAGCCAGAGGAAAAGACCCAATTCTCCTCCRCTCAGGGACTCGGGGACCACAGCCAGGACACCAGCCAGTCGTCCTCCCAGCTC